TGCCGGGGTGTGCGTGAGTGTCTGTGCGTGTCTGCGCGCCTGTAACCTCTGTATCACTCGGGTCACACAGTTGCGTGTGGATCCAGCTACTCCCCGCGCCGGCGGGGATCGCATTTCCTAGCGTGGCCGGTTCCCGCTGAGGTCCCGGGAAGCGCGTGAGTGAGCAGCGTCTGTTATCGATCACGTATATGCTATGGGCGCACATGTGTTTTCTACGGATGCAACACATTTATTGGGCTGCAGGCTTTTCCTAATGACACCGGGCATTCGGCCTCGAGGGGGGATGGGGCACAGAAGACGGGGGTAATAACGAATTAATTGCAGATGAGAAGTAATATCCGTCTTTGAGTCATCAGTCTTTGAGGCATAATTTCATTCCGAAAGCTCTTAATCAAACTGGAGATCTGCTATAGGAAAGCACTGCTTTTCCCATAGGATTATCAGATTTCCACCAGAGAATACAGATCCTGGATTACTGAGCTACATGGGATTTGCGTGTTTCTTTCTAATTAGTCTGTGAATCTGAGTTTAAAATTCTTTATTTGGAAGGGGGTGGGGGAGCGTTACTTGCTTCTAAAAGAACAGACGTCTCTTTTCTCTGATATTTTACACAGTTATTCTGGTTATCCTGTGCTCTGTAGATGATTTACTGCCTTAATTGGATACTGGTGTCAAAGGTTGATTAGACTCCCTAACAGATTTTGGATCTGCAAGAGGATTGCCATTTTAAATGCGTGGTTAAAACAATCGTGTTTGCCATCTCCCCTTGAGCAGTTGAGAGGAACGCTGATGTATTACATTTGCGTTATCTTCTCTTTGGTTTATTAATGTATCATCATGAGGTTGTCGGGTTTGGTTTTGTTGTTGTTTTTTTCCCCTCTGCTATTTCATTTGCAGACCGAAAAGAAATGAATGTCAGAGAGGATTTGTTTAATCATTTAACAGCTGACACAAGCCATGTCCCTAACAAAACATTGGTGAAAGAGTAGAAGATTTCTGAGATACAGCAGCTCTGGTGCCGTGAAGCCGCTTCAGCGGGTCAGGGGCAGCGTTTGCTGAAGGATGCAGTAGCCCAGGACGAGGTCGATGGCTTGCATGGAGCTTCTCTACCTGGCCGAGGAGAGCAGGCAGGCGCCCCTGGGCACCGCCGCCGGCTGGAGCCTGCCATCCCCTCCCTACGAGCAGCAGCAGCAGCCTGAGGGGGGTGAAGTGGACCCCAGAGCAGCCACTGCCGTGGCAGCCCTGCACTGCGAAAGGCATTGCAAGCCCTTGCAGAGGAGCCCTGTGGCTGAGACCCCCCCGAGCACCTCTCCCTGGGAGCACCCTGCACCCCCAGGCACCTCCCAGCCCTGCCACCCACCCGAGCACTTGCCCAGGGAAGAGGACGGAGGGAAGAAGAAAGCCTGCTGCTGTGCCCAGGAACTCGAGACATCATTCACCTACGTGGATGAAAATGTAAACCTGGAGCATGCAAGAAGTCCCCCCAGTCCTACAGGCGGCCGCTGCCAGGATGCCCCTCTGCAGCAGCGTTCCTGCAGGGAGCTGCCACCTGAGTGGGTGCACGACTCTCCTTCCCTGGTCTCTGAGGAGGACGACGCTGCCTCGGAGGTGGCGGCCGGGAAATCCGTGGACTACGGGTTCATTAGTGCCATTTTGTTCCTGGTGAGTGGCATTTTGCTGGTGATCATTTCCTACGTGGTACCCAGAGATGTGACTGTGGATCCCAACACCGTGGCTGCCCGGGAGATGGAGAGGTTGGAGAACGAGAGTGCTAGGATCGGGGCTCACTTGGACCGCTGTGTTATCGCTGGGCTGTGTCTCTTAACCCTGGGGGGAGTGGTGCTCTCCAGCCTGCTGATGATGTCCATGTGGAAAGGGGAGCTGTACCGGAGGAGCAGGTTTGCGTCCTCCAAGGAGTCTGCGAAGCTCTATGGGTCTTTCAATTTCAGAATGAAGTCTGGTGCAAACGATAATGTGCTCGAGCTGTCGTTAGTTGAGGAAGATGTGCTTGCCATAGATAATTAGTGTGGTCATGATTTTTAAGGTAGCGTTTCTACAGGAAAATATGTTTCATTAAAGAAAACAGATGCGGCTAAAGATAGCTGGTGATGCAGTTTATTTGTCTGACAAGAATGGTTTTTTCTTAAGCTCCATAATCGAATGTTTGCAGTATATGAGCAGTTGTTGTAAAGGGAAAATGTGCCAGAGAAAATGCAACTGATAGAAAATAATGAAAGCTACTGAATAAAAAGAGATTTGTGATAAGTAGGTTCCTCAGATACTCATTTATCCCAATAGAAAACATTCCATTGGTGTCTCGCCTATATAATTTTCTTATTACTCCCATATAGAACTGGAATGACTTTGACACTTTGGAAGCTGTTAATTATTGCAGCCTGCAGAATTATTAACAGTCTACTTGGTAGCCTGTTAAGAAGCAGGACCAATAATCAAATAGCAGGGCTAATACTTAATTACGAGAGATGCTTTTTTATCCTTTAATTTTAAACCGATCCCTTCTCTTCTATTGAGTGAGAGCTAAGGGAAAAAAGAACACCGCTTGGTCATGACTTGCCACAAACCTCCCATATTTTCAAACAATTGTACAATTAGTGATGATTATTTAAAATATAAAATAAGAGGCAAAGGGCAGGGAACCATATGGCTCATGGTATTGGTAGGAGACAAAAGGCTCTTTCAGCTTGAGGTCAGTGGCTCCATTTCAGTTCAGATTAGCAATGATTGATAGTCATTAACTTCTGATAGCTATAGTGACCCATATAAAAGAAGTTTAGTTCCTGGTGGACAGATGTCTTTGTATGAAAGCTGCCATAACTTGAATTAACTGACCTCTTGTTTAGAGTCTCAAAAGACCCAAAGAGTGAAAAAGCATAGGGATGCTGAGACTGAACAGTTCTCCTTCAGTACGGATGCCGGAAGAAATTCAAGCTCAGCTGCAGGGCTTTGCTTATACTGGGGCTGTCTGCATCTTGCTAGTCCTTTTGAAACTTCGGTTTTATGTCACTAGGCTGTCAGCCTTCTCATAACCAGCAAGGAAAGGTCAGGAAGGAGCTTTCTGGGGCTCATTCAATAAAAAACAATTTATTTGTAAAAAATAAATTGTCAGGAAATACAAAGGTTAAATATCGGGCAGTTTACTGGCTGATATGGGACTCGCTTAACCTAGGGGATGATCAAGGGTACATGTTGTTATTAATCACAGTTCCGTGGCACAGTAGCCAAAAACCTGTACCACTGATGCTATTTAGTTTATTGTCAGCCAGTTTCTGTGGAACATTAAAGTTGTGTTCTTGCAGTGCTGAGAAAACCAACAAAGATTGTTGAATGCACCGCTGTCAGTTCTTACTGAACAGTGGTTTTTATATATATATATATGTCCTGTTAACATATATATGTATGTTAATATACATATCTCTGTGTCCCTGCCAAAGCCAAACATGAGTGAAGAGCTCCGTACAGTCCCTGACTGCAGAGTCTTAGTAGAAACATATGATTCACTGTCACAGCCTTGTCAGTCGTGAGTTAAGTCTCAAATATCAGGAATATCAAATATTTTTTAAATGATACTTTTTTTCCCACTGTGACATACCTGAGAAGAGTTGTTTTGGGAAGCGGGGGAGGAGATCTTTATCCAGGAATATGTGGCAGCACAAGGTTCAGAATAACAAGTGGCAGGAGGAAACGTGGGGTCCTCACGCGGAGAGACTGAATGCTATTTTGCCACCTGGTTCCTCATTCCTTCTTCTTTGGCTGTTCATGTCAGGAGACATGTGCAGCACCTGAGTCGGGCACTCACCTAGTTCAGTCCCTCCTGCTTGCCGGCCACGGGTGCTGGCGCAGGTGCCTTTGACCGAGGGCCCGAGGAGCTGCGCCGCTCCAGGTTCATGCCTTTGGTCACTGTAAATAGCATGGTGTGGTACCCAGGCTTTAACGTCGGCCCTGCAAAAGAGATGCTGCTTCAGATGTTAACTGCTCTAACCGCCGCTTTAGTTCAGTGTTATTTAGTAATTAAATGAGCAGCCTTATTAGGTGGTGCTGCTGCCTAATAGATGATTTTGCGAGTTTATGTCATGATATGGAGCATGTTCGCAGGCAGGAACTCAGCAGTGGCCAGCATCTCTGCAGTCGTCTTGGAGAGCTTACATCCCTCTGGATGTGTCATCAGGGATTCAGGATTTAATTTCTAAGGTAAATAAATGGAATAGCTTCCAGATGTAAGGAGAAGCCTTCAGCCTGTTGTGATTGGTGAGAGTGAGGAAGGAAATAGCCTGAGAAGCAGGACACACAGGAGGAGGGCTCCTCCTTAGCTGGCCTTTGCCTGCTGGTGGGTACGTGGACACTGCCTGCAGGGCCTGACACATAGCTTGAGGTGGGGGGTGGGGACAATGCTGCCTCCCGTCCTGCCCTGAGGACGGGAAGAGGCTGGCCATGGCCTCCAGGAGTCCAGGGAAAGCCGTGCCAAGTGAGAGGGCAAACGGTGCTGAGCCAGGGGCAGCAAGACGGTGTGGGGCAGGGGACAGATGTCGCGGGGGATGAAAGCCCTTTCACCAGCCTGGGCCCCTAATGGGAATCACTGTACTCACCTACGCGACAGAAGCTCTAAAACTGAGGCTGGTGGTTTTGAGAGCCATTATTTTTATTTTTTAATGATACATATGCATAAAATCGGAGTACATTCCATTATTGCAGAAAGATGACAGCTAAAGCTGTAAGGATCACAGATTTCTTGTAGGAACCATGGCATGCCTTAATGCTGATTATTAGCACTAGAAAAGGGAACGCTTCCCTGAGTGTCAGTATGTTATTATCAAATGAGAAGTTTTCTGACACTTTGTAAAATGCCTGTCAAGGATCATGAGCCTGCAATACTTAAATGAACCCTCAAATTTTCCCTGAGCATTTTAAGGAAACTTAAACCAACCTAATAATCTAAATATACACTGCAGAAGTGTGAGGAGTAAGAAAATTTAAGTAACAGGACTAACAGTTTCTTTATTTTGGTGTTAGCGTGCGCTATGAAAGAGGCGAAGGAAGGCCTCCAGAGTGCAGGAGTTTAGCAGATAAAAACTCTCAGGACATTTCTCTGATCACCCAACAAGATACCTTTACAAATTACAGGACTGTGTGGGTTGGTGGTGCGATATAAAACCTCTGGACTCTCAGGTTCTCGTGCTGTGTGGTGTGACAGAGACCAAAACACTTGCTGTCTGGTGGCTGATGGTGGAAAATGAATGTATTAGCCCGCTGCCTGGTGGATGAGCCTTCGCATCGTTCACCTTGCATGAGGCGGTACCAAAGGCTGAGGCCAAGGGAAATTAATTGCCCTCTCGTGCACCCTCACAATTTGATTTCCCCTGCTCAAAAATTAAATGCTTTAAGGGTACAAGTGTGAGAAAAAATGTTGGGTTTTTTTTCGTTGCCTGGGGTAAAGTTGTCGCATGGATCATTGGGGAGCTTTCTTCTTTGGGGATCTAAATTTTGGGGTGTACCAGGTGAGTTTTAGGTGCCCCCTGGAGTACCCCGGGAAACATATCGGGATTTGTGCCGTCAGTCAGTTTATGTCTGACCGACCCTAACAGCGAAACGTGACGCTTTCCCATTTTCTACCTCACGACATGTCCGCCGGCCGGGCCCTGCCCTGGCCTCTGCCTTCCTGCCGGAGGGACCTGGAGGCCTGCAGCTGGGCCGGAGGCGCCCGCGCTCCCCCGCGCTGCGGCAAGGCGCCGGCAGCCTGCGGCTGGCTCCCCACTGTTCAAACAGCTCCCCGGTGACCCGTTTTCTCAGTTTCTTTTTCTTGATTAGGCGTGTGTGGCCGAGGCTGGCCATTTGGGAACTGCCTGGCACCTGCTGGGGACTCTCACCAAAAAGGAGGCCCGTCGCCGCACGGTCCCAGCCCCGCTGGGGCTGCGGGCGCCCAGCACGGCTCCCAGGTGCAGCCGACCTTGCCTTCTCACTGCCAGCCCGAAGCCAGCCCCGCAGCAGAAATGCCTGAGACTCTCTCCTAGGAAGCTACGCTGGGTTGTTGCTGTTTTTGATATGTTTACAGTTTTTTAATCTTTGTAATTCTTTTAAAAGTCTGTCTGTAATGAATATAAAGTTTACCAACTGGGAAAGCAATCGATTTAATCTTGCAAAACTCCTTTTTGACCCACTACAGGGTGAAATGTCACAGTTCATCGTGAGCTCTTCAATAGTGCGTTTGATGCCTTATTATAATAGCAACAGCGCTCTGTACAGATTGAAAAATAAAAGTCTATAAAGCTGAGCACTGTCGTCATGGTCCTCTTTGCTCCTCGCTGAACGACCGGTGGCAGTGGTTGGCTCTTCCCCTCTGTGCTGTGGGCGCAGCCCCTCGTCCTCAGACCCCGGGAGCCGCGGCAGGGCCAACATGGGCAGCAGGGCCGCCTGGCGAGAGGCAGCTCCAGATCTGGCTGCACCAGTGCACCAAGCTTCTCCCGAGCTCACCCGGCGACCATGTCCCTGCTGGCCGGTACTTCCCACTCAGAAACTGCCAGACAATGCAGGCTTTAAAACTCTGCTACGCCGGTGTCCCACCCAACTCTGTACAACAAAAAAATTAAAGACAAAAGATGGAGGGAGGGACAAGCCGGAGCTGCGTGGAGGGCGGGGGGGGGTGGGGGGGGGGGGGTGGGTGCACCCCCCCGCCCCGCCATAACCACGTGAGTAACCACTTTGGTACCATGTCCTCGCCCTGGCCTGGCTTTGCTGCCGTCAGGGCTGGACGGCAGCTGGTGCTGGGCCCAGTGCTGGCCACCGTGGCAGTTGGTGGATGCGGGGCTCCCAGGGAGCACCGGTGGCAGCAGGTGGCGCAGGGAGAGGCAGGAGCGGTGCTCCTGGAGGGCTGCGGGCCGGGCATGGCCATCTCGGCTCGCCCCAGGGAAGACTTGGCAGATTCAACTCCCCCTTCCAGAAGGGACACTAGCATGCCATGGCTGTACCAGAGTGATGCAGCGATGGGGGGGTGCTGGTGCGGGGCCAGCAGAAACCGGGGCCAGCAGCTGAGCAGGACCTCCAGGGAGCCAGGGTTTGCTCCTGGCTTGCGTTTTTTGTTTCTCCCAGATGCCCAGTGCATGTCAGTTAAGCACCTTGCCACCTCTGACAACCCCTACTCCCCCCCAGATGCGATACGAAGGTATTCCATGCAGGTTATGCCTTGTAACATCACTTTTCATGCCAGGGTGACAGGATCAGACCCTTTCCTGCCGCTGTCATGTGAATCAAAG